AAACTTTGGCAGGCAAGCATGAAAAATATATGCAAATAAGGGATAGAGCTAGGCCGCGAAAACGCTAGAAATCCAGCAAGTGAAATAATTATATCTACAAGGGAAATTCAGGGGAGCTTGTAATTATCTCACGGGTTAGGGAGGGCCACAGCATACCAGTTTTCAGGGGATACTGAGCCACATAAACAACCAGTAAAATAGAGTTCATGCATTTTTTAAGCCTCTAAAGCTTTAGCTTAAAGCTTACAAAAGGCCGCATGAGCCTAGATCTAGCCTGAGTAACTCAGGGGAATCTTTCAGATCCGTATGACAGATTTCTGGCTCTGCAAAATACACACATTACTTAGCTGAACATCAACAAGATTTATCCCTTAGAGCTGTAATTTTCTCATAATTATGAGGCTCTGTCGTCTAACATCAGTGGAGTCTATAGGTAGGCCTTGTACACTAATATAAAGAATAATGCATGGCGGAAATTTAGGCAAAATTTAGGCGAAATGCATTGGGCGTGAAATCCGTTTTGGTCTACATTGTTTTGGGCTTTAACAACTCTACTTCTGGTGGTTGAGCTTGCTTATACCTTGAGGTATTGTTATGCCTCATGTGTAGATGCACACTATTGTGCAGCTCTTTGATCGAATTTCGATTTATTTCTCTCATTTTTAAGTTCCGAAGACTAGTGCCGGCGGTGTTCATCCAGATGGCAATGTTAACTGGTACTCTAATGTCACACCGACTATTTCTTTTGTGCTTTTCTGGCAAGAGCTGCTTCTAGCACCCTAGGCAAAAGTGCGATAAGGTAAATCAGGAGTAGGATGGTAGCAAAAACTAGTGGAGCTGGTCGTTCACCCGCCATTACGCATAACGCATGGTAGGGCCTTGGAGCCAGCCAAAAGCTAAATGACACACGGGCGGCCAAGAGAAGAAAAGTGGTGATGGAAAGTTTCTGGTGCTCCAGCCAGCCAGTGTGACAGGGAGCCTCTCTGTCGTTGGTTAGCTTTCGTGCCAGTGAAATGAAATCTGAAAATGCGAGTGTTTTCCGAGCAAAAGCAGTTAAAGAAGAGGATCTGGTTTTCATTATGACTGTCTACTAGTGTTGCCAATATGCGAAAGGCACATGTATACCAGATAAAGCTAAGTATATGGGGTCAAGAGAGAGTAATTGGAGAGCAAAATGTCTGATTCTTGGGCCTAGAACTTTTAAAAGTGCGCTCTTTGTCAACAAATAAGAAAGATATATATTTTATTTTGCTGTTTACCTACTGATAGTGGTTGGAAACTGCTGAGTATAGTAACTAGTGCTCAGACTTAATGAAAAAGCTTCAATTAGGGCCGGCTGGCAACCGACATCTAGGATGACACATAAGGTTCATTCAAAGCCGGCATTTAGACGATTTTGGACAATTCTAATGCTACGCTTAGGTGCAATCGCAGTAGAAAACGTTTTCAACATTCTATGCAAGGCTTAGGTCTGGTAGCATGCCTTTACTAGGGGTACCATAGAGGTCATAAGCCTAATACTTTTTCCACGGATCCAGTGGTCAAGAAGTTGAAAAGTGATAAAGTCTGAAGAGAAGGTGAAGATGTAGATAAGAAATAAGGATTGAAGGAAGAGGTCGGTGAAGAATAAGATCATCTTGTATTCAGTTTGCTATTCTTAACCCCTGGAAAATGGGTGCGACGGATACCGTTAAAGTCTCTTAGGTGCTAGAACGGTAACCACAATGAATGTGGATGAGTTTTGAGCTGAAGGTGCTTAGATGTCTTGCACTACGTCGTGGGCGTCCTCAAGCTATATCAGGGCCAGTTTCAAAGAAGTGGTCTTGCGAATCGCGGATATGGAAGATGCTTTGTAGATTGCCAAAACATAGGAATTTTTGTATCTCCTTCCTGAAGACCTGCAAAATTTGGATTTCTCTTATTCTGGGAGGCAACCGGTTCCATATGTTCACGTAGACAACTAAGAAGAAACGAGACCGCAGTCTCTTCTTTGCCTTTAGCGGAGTAATGGAATGGCCCCTGTTTCGGAGTCTCGATTCAGACGCGCTCCTACAGTTTAATGACAAGTGATATTACTGTGCAACTTTCTATGAATTAGCTTGTCTAAGAAGCACTTGTGTAAGGATAAGGCGTCGTTTGCCATAGCGGCTGAATTTTAAGGAGTGTTTCACCTACCTTGGTCGGTAATTCATCAGCAGGTTGCTGGCAGGGTGGAGGTCAAATATCTTCGTAACAGTCGTCGCTGAGCTTTCTCAAGCAGTAACACGGTCTGACTTACGTAGATTGCTGCGTATAAAAGAGCTATATTCTAGATGTGGCCTGTCGTGAATCTGTATTTCTAGTTCTAGCCTTGCCATCGGCAGGTTTTTCTATTGCTAACGGCGTTTGTGGAACGATAATCCTCTTACCCTTGCTACTTGTATAATGCACTGCGCTTGCATAGTTGAGGCTCATAGAGTAGCGCAAGCCCAGATTTGTGGTTATGATATTCTGTTTGATAGTGATACCGTTTATTGTTAGGGACTCAGCAGGTATAGAGAATCTGTGGGTCCTGACGTTAGATTTTTGAGCGGAGAAGGTCATTTGCCAGGTGTTCGCACCACCTTTTCAAGTGCTTTAAGATCCGCACGGATACTATTAAGTGCGGAAAATTTCATTAACCCTCGGGGAATAGTCTGTAGACAAGACTTCACTCCCCACTCCCGTCACACCAAAGATAAACGGAGCGGCCGTGTTTGCAAAAAAATCTTGCAGAGGGATCATTGATATAAATCAAAAAATTAGGACCCGAGTGAGGAGCCAAGGGACACTTCCCGGCACCACGCCACTGAGGACGTGCGTGGTCGGGGTGGATACTTGTTGGTTCACCCTTATACAGACTGCGTTACGTCCTACTTGAAGTGCATAGGAAACCCAGCCCGTCTAATAGAGTGACCGTCTACCCCATAAGCCTTTAGCTTAGGCATCGAGGCGCATGTGTCGGTTCCCTGTCAAACGCCTTTTTGCATATCAGGGTTAAAGAATGACAAAACAAAGGGGAGAATAAAAAACAAACAGACAAACAAAAGTTAATCCACACCAAAACAACACAGACAAGCAAACAAGCAACAAGCCTAGCCCACCAGCTTACCCACACATAACAAAGTTCCAACACCACACACACTACAAGGACAACCAACACAGACGCACCAACCACCCACATTCCAACACCTCAACATAACTCCGCTTCCCCCCAACCGACCCCCACCCCACCCCCTCCCCCCCTGCCCCCTCCTCCATGCCCCCCTATTAGTGTCCCCATCACCTCCTCCTCCCCCCCTATCCCCCCCCCCCCCCCCCCCCCCCCCCCCCCCCCCCCCCCCCCCCCCCCCCCCCCCCCCCCCCCCCCCCCCCCCCCCCCCCCCCCCCCTCCCCCCCCCCCCCCCCCCCCCCCCCCCCCCCCCACCCCCCCCCCCCCCCCCCCCCCCCCCCCCCCCCCCCCCCCCCCCCCCCCCCCCCCCCCCCCCCTCCCCCCCCCCCCCCCCCCCCCCCCCCCCCCACCCCCCCCCCCCCCCACCCCCCCCCCCCCCCCCCCCCCCCCCCCCCCCCCCCCCCCCCCCCCCCCACCCACACCCTCCCCCCCCCCCCCCCCCCCCCCCCCCCCCCCCCCCCCCCCCCCCCCCCCCCCCCCCCCCCCCCCCCCCCCCCCCCCCCCCCCCCCCCCCCCCCCCCCCCCCCCCCCCCCCCCCCCCTCCATCCAGCATCAAACTCGACCGTTATGCCACTGTAGTCCCCCAAGAGAGACCCTCTGACCGGAATGCCACGACCCGCTGCCCCAACGCCCCCCTATCAGAGCATCCAAAACTGTGCACGCCATCGAGACCTAAAGAGTCACTAGTGCCTTATATAATCAACATACCTCCACCAAGCGCGACTACAACACTACGTTTGGATACACTATGGCTATAGTTACCAACTTCCTGTAGGCTTCCGCCCTTATGCCTTGGCACTATGATAGAATGTTTCCATGCGGCCGGGCATTGACCTTTTTGCATTGATAAGGTAAAGATTTTCAAAAGAAGCATAGGGATATCTTCACCACCATTCTTAAGTAGACTGGGCGGGATTCCGTCTGGGACCCTGGTCCAGGATGGCTTGGTAGATGAGATCGCAGAACGGACACTACTTAAGTCAAACTGTACAAAGGACAGTGACGTGGCTACCGGGCACCTTCAGGGCCTGAAAGGTTGAGCTTATTTCCAACCACTGCGATTCTTTAAAATGTGAGCTTGAAGGCTTCACATAAAATTCTTGGGTCACTAGACGTTTCGTTGGGACTGATCTTTAGAGTAGAAATCTTACGTCCATAGTTAGGTGTTCGAGAGCGCAGCAGCCAACTGAGACTCTTAGCTTTGTTTCGCACTATTTAGTGCGGCTATTTCTTGCTTGGTTTGCTGCAGCTTAGCTCTGGCAGAAAACTGGTGTGCATCTCGTTCGCTCTCATGATGTGAGCAAAATTGAAGGTTTTGTAATAGGATCGTCTAAGCTGACGCATTCTGTTATGCATTTTGGTTTGGGTCACACTTTTAGAAGAATGCCTTATTAAATGCGACACGGGAGCTAGAGAGTCGAGACAGTGCAGTATTTCTTCATAAAACAGCTCGGCCGAGCGATCCACAGAATCAGACATAAAGAATTCATCCCAATTTTTTGATCGGACGAGCACGCAAAGGTAGTCCAGTTGACGAGGTGCATTGGGCGGTATACTAAGACTGCGTCTGGTTCTGTTGGGTGGGCATTATGTTGCTTTAAGTAAACCGAGCAGTGCACTAATCTGTGATCACTACCCGGAAATTCCCAGCCGACTGCCCACTCGCGTTGATTGGGATGCCGAGAGTAAATATTAGGTCAAGATGTGTTCCTCCCTGGTTGGAGCAAATACATGTTGCGTCCAGCCGCCTAAATTGTTACATGTTTGTAGGGCAGCATATTTCGTTGTTGCAGCAGGTGAGAGCCAGCTTAACACAGGCAGGTTGAAATCTCCTGCAACGAGCGTGTAATCGCAGGAAAAAGTTGACGCTTGCGCTAAAGCATCCATAAGTGCCTTGTCACACTTAACTGAGGTATCAGGTGGTCTATGAGCACACCCAAATTATATCGTGGATCCCCAGGGATATCAGCCGTATCCATACTGAGTCCATCGCCTCATCCGCGTTCATGATTTGGACGTTTTGTATGCTGGGTACGTATATTTTAACATAAATGCGCACCCCGCCCCCTCGTTTATTGCACACCGCGACCTGCATGTAAACAGCTGATAGTCAGGAAGTGAGTAGTTCCTCCCTCTGAAGCCTAAGGGGGAAAACTATGTTTCCGAACAAATATTGCATCAGGGTCGGCCGAGGGACAATAACAGCGGACATAAGATATTGCATTTTATTGTTTAGGGACCTAGCAATTTATAAGTAGAAGTGAAGATAGACACTTGGGGTTCTACTAGATGTTACGCATGACCGAGATGAGCGTTGAGGCTCTTATCTTCGCTATCTGCTGTAGTTGTATGAAGTGGGGGAGAAGGCATTGCAGTTGGCAGTTGGGCGACGAGGGACTTGGTGCCGCGATGAAACTGTCGCGGCTCATCCCCACCTGGCCTAAAAAATTCGCAGGCTGCGGGGTAGGAAGTAGTGAACTATTTGGCTATTTTACCTGGACCGGTGGCGAAAGTCTGAGGGATGTAGCAGGCACATAACAGCCTGGATGCGCAGGTAGTTGATCGGAGCTGCGTAAATTATCACATGTAGTGCTCTCCGTGGGTGAATTGGTAACGGTGGTGGTACGCGATGCCGTCTCACAAGTATCTGGGGTATGGTTGGGTAGTGTCCCTCTTGGTGGGCCAAAATAAAGTTGCCTTAACTTGGGAGCATTGCGAAGTTGTCCACAATTCAATATTATACTGCGCAGGACTCTACTATAGTTTATTGTCAATTTGACTGGGGCTGGCAATTTACTGATGCCTTTGACCATCCTCTCAACGTGTACCGAGTTTTCCGCGATACCGTTAACTTTAAGGATTGTGCTCTGAAGCTCGCCCGTCGATACGCCATCCGGAACATTAAATACAAGTACGCTAAACAACGCATTGTCCCAACCCGGCTGCTGCGACTGCTTGTCTACTGATCTTGCGCTAATTAAGGCTTGTGTGGGTGACATAGCCGTCGTCGGTGAGTGACTAGGTGA